CAGTAAAAAGTTTGTATTTGAGATTACATTTACATGTTATAGGTGTTATTTATTTTTATTAATTATTGAAAGAGATTGGTTATCCTATTTTGGTGATGCTTCGTTAATGTTATAGAGACTTCCAATTATTTGTTGTGGAATTCATAAATTGCGATAAACTATCAATCTCTACAGTTAAGAAATTCATCCGTTGGGATTAACTGTTGCTTTGACACTTAAGTTATGGGATTCTCGACGTTACTTACTTTTTCTTGACAGTTTTGTTCATATGTGGTTCAGTGGATCATCTACGTTACATATTAAATGTACGATATATCATCGTCTTACATTTGTCAAGAATTCTCGACAGATGAATAATTCTTAACAGATCGGTTATGTGACTTATTAGTTGAGATGAACTATTTTCCTGGATAATTAGTTTCAGTTATTCTCGGCGGATGATTAAATCTTGACAGATCAATTGAGTAATCTGTCGATATGAGTTGTCATTCTCGACATATGAACTGTCGTTCTTGACAGATGAAGTCAATATTTCTCAACGGATGACTATTTCTTGACATATAAATGTTGCAGCCATCTATCAACATGTCCAACTTTGATTCATCTAAACATTATATGTGTGTTTTACATTAACATATATGGATTATTATAATTTGACATTTTTTGTTTTCTTGTTGTACCTTATTCTTGCAAATAAATTTTGAATTCCTAATTTACGAAAATGTGCGCTAGAGCGTCCACTTTTCTCAAAGGAGAAATTTCAAGTTCATGAAAATCGTATTGGAGAATTTTCATGATCAATAGTAGAAAGATTTCGGAAAATCATGCCTTGGGGTCCTGGCGGCCGAGTTACCTGACCTACAATTCTAGGCCCAATTGATCCAACAACTAGTATTCAAATCAATTAGAACTAATAAGGCAAAGGAGTCGGCAATATTGATTTTAGGTAGCCGAGTGGATAATTAGATGTTGGTAGACTATACATGTTATTATTTGGCAATTTTGATAACTAATGCAATTCATACTACTTTTGTGCAGGCATTGTCACTGACATGCCGGTGGCAGCTACCATACCCGTTGAAGATGACAATGTCATTAACACAAAAAGGCCGTGATTGACACGCGTTCGATTTCCTACAGCATTTAGCAGGACTCCATTTACCAAGGGAAGGAAAAAGTGAGTCAAGAAATAGTGCCAAAAAGTTTGTTAATACTATGTTAAACTCGATTTGGTGGTTGTGTACTAAATGACCACAGTTGCTTCCCTCCAAAAAATTGATTATAAACACGATTTGGTGGTTGTATATATCGGTGCTTATACATCTCCAAGAATTTTCGTTTCTCATATGCTGTGTTTGGTGGATGTTGCTATCTTTGTGATATGAGAACTTATCATTTTATCATTCCTCGTTTTCTATAACGTTTCTTTACATTGTAGACATTTGAGGTTTGGTCTTATTTTGATATTTATTACAATCCTAATGTTTTTATACATGAAAATTATAAAGTAAGATAGACTGGCTAGGAAAAAGAAGGAAAGAATGCTTCTTCGATTATCTATTTAGAAATCAATTAAGTGAAAACTCTTTTATAATATGTAGCATGTGAGAATCCTTGGTCATTGCTTTTATGGCACTAATTTTATTTATTTTAGATAGTTGGTTTCTTTTTGTCTTTGACATATTTATCGGCTTGTTTGATTAGCACAAGATAAAATTGGATTGCTTCATATAACGGGTTATCCAAGTTCTCGTCTTCTGATGCA